ACCGCACCACCTCATCTTCTGAAGGTTTCAGATTCAGGGCTGTGCGTAATGCAGAATGCAACCAGCAAGCACATCGGTGTTGCCCCTCTGGGCGCTTGCAGCTTCCCAAGGGTGACACAGTTTATGAAATGTCCGTTCTGATTTGCAAATAGGTCTGACACGGACGTACTTCCAGCTGGATGGTGATTTCCATAACAACCCCTCCTCCTTGGTGCCAATTAACAGAAATTAAATGTCCCTGGCACACTTTGTAATTCAGAAAATGCATGTACTGATTAAACCCCCCACTGGGCATCCATTATGACCTATGGGCTCCAGCCAAGTGCTAATCTCACTCCATCTCCATTTAAAGTCACAGAATGTTTTCTTCCTGGGCAAGAATCAATATCACTTCATTCATTTATTCATTTTTCATTCAATGGATGTCAACTGAGCATCTACTACATGCTACGTGCCCGGTGTTGTTCCATACAGTTGGGATACAGCAGCGAACAACACAGATAAGGTTCCTACCTGCAGGAAGCAGGGGAGTAAATGATAGACAAACAGGAGAATTTTTACATTTCAGATGTTATGAAAGGAACAAAGTGATGGGACAGAGAATGGCTGAGGGGCATGAGCTACATTACGTAGGGTGACCAGGGAAGATTCTCTGAAGGGATGCATTGGAGTTGAGATCTGAAGACTGAGAAGGAACCAGACACGCAGCGTAGTGGGAAGAGCAGGAACAAGCTCAGCCCATCCAGGAAACTCTCCATGGGATAGGTTCCATTAACACTCTTTTATTTATCAAGTATTTTTGATTACACAGTAAGTATTTGTTGAATGAACAATTGGAGAATAAATGAATCACCTTTTTTCCTGACAAGAAGGCCCATCATAGGAAAGATGAACATAGGGAAGATGTCACTGGAGTTATTGCAGGCAGAGAGGCAAATTACCTCCCTTTTCTCCATCCTATTCCCTGTCTCTAAAACAAGGGACTTGGCTTAGGCACTTGCTTTCCAGCGCTGTGAGATCTCAAGAACTCACCTTTCAGAGGAACTGGCCCTTGCAGTTATTTAAAGCAGTGACTATGCAGCAAACAAAGAGCAAACGATCATCTTTAAAAAAAAAAAAAAAAAAAGCCAAAATGGTTGTTTGGAATTGTATACATAAGACATGAAATATCATTTCCTTTGTTATCATTAGGGTATACTTACTGAATTTCTGCACCCGCTTATTCAGAAAGTACTTATTACTAGTTGTGAGTCTCTTCTCTCCCTCCCTTCAGCCCTCTTCCCTTTATCTCTCTCTCTGTTTCTCTCTCTCTCTCAATCCCCCAAGCTTTCTCTGGCACAGGATTTCAGAGCCCAGGCTATAGAATTGGAACACCTAAGTTGTGCTAAAGTGTGTCTTACTATGTGACTTTGGGCAAGTCACTTCACCTCTCTGAGTTTCAGTTTTCTCATCTATATAGAGGGAATAATAATAGAAGACATCTCACAACACCACACAAAATAAATACTAAGGTATTGTTATCTTCATTAGCATCCATTATTATCCTTTTATAGATAAGAATGTAAAGTTTAAAGAACTCAACTTAGGAAACTGAGACAGGTTTTTAGGGCAGAAGAAACTCTAGTAACAAATGTGACAGCCACTGTTTAATGACCTGTTTCTACCTGCAGGATGCTCTATTCTTTGAGATAATTAAGGAGCAGAATCACAAGAAATAGCCTTCAGGAGGCCTTTGAATCAATAATAATAATTTTGAGCCAACAATTATAGAGCCCCTGCTATGTGTCACTGTACTATGTGCTTTACTTATATCAAACATTGACTTATTTGAAACTCCCGCAGTTACAATAAATACGATTACTACCCCCATGTTAAAGGACTGGAGAGATTAAAAAACTTCCATGAGGTCACAAAGCTAGGAACTGTGGAGTTTGGAAATAAACCCAGGCAATCTGGCTCCAGTCTGTGGCTGCTAACTGCTTTCTTCCTCATTTAAGATTGAATGAAAGGCTGGGCATGATGGCTCACACCTATAATCCTAGCACTTTGGGAGGCCAAGGCAGGTAGATCACCTGAAGTCAGGAGTTCAAGACCAGCCTGGCCAACATGGCAAAACCCCATTGAAATACAAAAATTAGCTGGGTATGGGGGCACGCGCCTATAATCCCAGCTACTTGGGCAGCTGAGGCCGGAGAATCACTTGAACCTGGGAGTTGGAGGTTGCAGTAAACCGAGATCACGCCACTATACTCCAGCCTTGGAGACGAGAGCAAAACTCCATCTCAAAAACAACAACAACAACAAAAAAAAGATTGGACGGAAGAGCTATCTCCAGACATCAGGGGTTTTTGGTGATGTCTTTTTGTTTTTACTTCAAATAGACTTGTCTTGTGGAGTGCTCCGTAAACAAAGAATTATTACCTGCCTAATCTCAAAACCCCTGGCCTGCAGACACAGCGCTAGTAAGGGCTGCTACTCCTTACTGCACAGTGCCAGCCATAGGAAAAGTCACACCTCCTACCATGGATGGGATTTTTCTGGGTGCCTATTAAAATGTCAGTTGATCTTAGAGTTGAAGTTCTTTCTACATCATTTAGCACAACCTGGAAGGTCAGATTAATGTGGCAGCCAGCTTTCCCTTGGCAGTTACTTTCTTATTACTTCCCTGCCCCTACACTTGTTCTCAGAAATGTTACCTCACAATAAATGTAGTTAAAAAGAGCAAAGAAACCATTGCTACTCGCTTGGAATGCAGATGCTATAATCTGGGAGAGACATTCTCACACCAACACTGATAATACAGATCAAAGAGGCCATCTCTGGGCCCATTGCAATATTAACAGGTCGAAACTTCTCCATAGGCAGATGCCCAGCATCAGCACTGGCACCAACCTACGCTCAAGGAGGAGAGGCAGGGTATGTCTAACGCAGGCCACCTTCCTTTTAAAATTGGTGAATAACAAAATGAAACCCCTGCCCACGTTTAGTGGTGTGTAGTGAAGACAGCATAACGCCAAATCCTGTGTAATTTATTGACATGGTGAGACACAGAATGTATCCTCGTAATCACGGAACGCCTGCTTCTCCTGCTGAATGTAAAGCAGCCACCTGGAGCCTCTGATAGCTCTTACTTGCTGTTACAGTGCTGAGTGAAGCACATTAGCTAATGAGGAAGTGCTGCCTTGCCTTTGTAGGCCCTGGGAGCTCAGGGCAGCTCCATTTTGAGCCCAGCTGTGGTTGCCTGCTTGAAAGCTGAGCCTCCTCTGGTACCTTCAGTCTCTGGAGCCACAGATCTTAGTTCTACCTTTGTAAGTTGGGGGTTTAGGTAAGACCCCCCAGATTGATGTGATAAGACTTCCACAAACGGCTGGAAGTCTTGATCTGACAGTTCCACACCACCCCCACAAATAATGAAGCTGTGATCATTATTAAAGTTTCCCCAAAGAGAAAACTAGACAGTTACATCAGCATCAGTCCCTGGACAGAAAAGAAATCGGGGTATACATGAAAGAAAACTGGACAGGAGACAGAAAATTATTGAGCAAATTTCCCATCATCCTTTTAGCTTTCTCCTTTCCTCCTGCAGGATGATCAGTTTGGACTTTATTAGTACTCAGAAGGGCCAAGAGCCACGCAACAAAGCCATAAGAGCAACCTCCTATTATGTGCAATCAAACCACCTGCCCTCACCTCACAAGGGGCTGCCAGAGATGTTTGGTTGCACTTTCCTCTGGGGCATCCTCAACCTAGGAAGAGAAAGGAGGCAAGAGATTGGCCAGGGAAGGGAGGATATTGATTACATGTGTGAGGATGATAAGAATGCAGGTTGAGTTTGGTCATCAAAATACAATATTTAAGGCCTCAGAGAAATTCTGGGGGCTCACGGGTTTTAACTTTTTATTTGTGAAATAACTTCAGATTTCCATAAATGTTTGCTAAAATAGTGCAAAGAGTTCCTGTAAGGTCTTCCACTAGGTTCCCCAAAAGTTAAGATTTTACCAGGTTCATTTTTATTTACTTATTTATTTTTGGACCATTTGAGAGTAAGTTGGAGACTAAATGCCACTTATCCCTAAACATTTCAGTGTGTGTTTTTCAAAAATAAGGATATGCTTTTACATAACCATAATAAAATCGGGAAAATCAGAAAATCGGTGTTGATATAGTACTATTAACTAGTCTACAGGTGTAGTCAATTGGCCTATTATTTTTTAGTTGTCCTATTTTCCCTTACAGAAAAGTTATTTCGAAAGTCTTCTCTAAGATCCCTTTCAGGACCACATCTTGCGTGTAGTTGTCATATCTCTTGTTTAATGTGGAACAGTTAATGTGGAACAGTTCCTTGAGATTCATTTTCTTTTATGGTCTTGGAATTGTGAATAGTACAAGCCATTTATTTTATGGAATGTCTCTCAATCTGTATTTGTCTGTTATTTCTTTCTTCATCATTAGATTCAGGGTTTAGAGCAGGAGTCGGGGCTTGACAGTAATGGACGATAACCTGTAAAATGAAGTAGGAATCCCTGAGGCTATGCTGATATAAATAAATAAATGCAGGAGAAGGAAAAGCTCCCCCTTATAGTCAAGTGCCAATCTCTAAGTGTAAAAGAAATTATGGAATTTAAAAACAGCCCATTTGGCAACCACTCAGTAATAATTGGTTTAGGCAATAACCATGAATGAATATTAAAACTAGTGGATGAAAGCTTGAAAAGTCTCAAAATGTCTCCTCACAAGATACTTATTAGTCACAGAAGGAAAAAAAAAACACAACTTTACAGTAGACAATCACCTTAACCAAAACACCAAAGTTAGCATCACCAGCAATGGGGAAACAGATACTGTGTACCTCCTGATATGATGCACTGAGAAGAACACAGCTTCTCTTCTGTGAGAAGAAAAATTTCTACCCAAAAGGTATAAGAATCCTGAAGAACAACTATAGTTCATCCCAGCTGTATTTGCACGCAACAGATTCTGAAATCCTTTTTACTTTACAGAGCCTGCCTTGGTCATCTTCCCAGGAGGAGCTTGTGACAACTGGGATGCAGAAGAGAGCAAACAATCTGCTGGGATGGAAACTGCTCAATGGAGAGTTTGTGGACTGCATGATATTCCTTGACCATCAGGGATGGTACAGTGATACCAATAGTCTGGCCTCCAAGACAGGAGAGTAATAGGAAGCAAATCCATCTTCACCCGCAGTATTAATGGGTGGTGGGCCAGAATGGAAAAAAGCAAGTCAGTCATATGCTGTTACAGGTTACACCAGACTCTCATCCCTCTGTTACTCACTGCTTTTGTCAAAGCCAAACTTTATCTTGCTAACTTCTCATAGCTTGGCACCTAACAAATGACAAGACGGGACATCCAATGTCTTCCAGTTTTGTGGTCTGGCCTGTCTCTCCAGATCAGACTTAGAGTGATGCAGAGATGACTTAATATTCTCTTTGATGTTCAATCCGAAGAGGCCAATGCTTCAGCACAATGTCCACTAGCCATCACCCCCAGCCTGGTTCCCCATCAAGCATCCTGCATCACTCTGCCACATCTTTATTCTTTTCCAATCTGTCTTTTCCCATGATACCCTCTGACCCAAAGGATTTCTAATAAAACGTAGTGATCAAGGAAATAAAGACTTGGTACCTAAAGAGTCTCAGACAAGAAAAAAACCCGTGATGTTATAAGAAAGATACCAAGCTGCAATGCTTACAAAGAGGTTATTTCAAGTAGAAAGATATAAATATCAATTATAACCATGCATCCTTTTATGTTCATAAATAAATCATTATCTAGAACAAACCATTAGAAGACATTCTACTCCTCATTTAAAAAAAAAAACACTGTAATCTAAAATACAACTTTAAAATCACCTGTGCTAACCTACAAGAGACGTTGCTCACATAAGTGAAATTCATAAATACCCTGATGCTATTTGAACTGTATATTTTCATCTTCTCCTCTCTTAAGACATCAATAAGAATTTGATTTTTTAAAAGCACATGCCGCTCTGATTATCAAAGACAATAACACAAATGCAACATTACTGAGATATGTCACTTGTTTTAAAGTTCAGATCCTAATTTTACACGGACACATCCTCTGGTTTTTCATCCAGCCCTGCTTGTAAACAGGAGCCAGCACTGGCCAAACCACAAGCAGAGTAAGGATTGCATCTGAAGGTTACAGAAATGTTTTCTTCTTTGTGAAGGTGTCACATGCAGGGATTAAACTGGCAGCCATCTTTGAATGCGATGAATAATTTGGACTTCTTAGCCACACCCTTCTCTCTGTTAACCACAGGAAGAGGTGATAGTACACCATAAGAAGCCCCAGGGTTCTGGCTTTATCTGCCAAGTGGTAGGTGAGAAGGGAAGAGATGTGATTGAGCACACTGGCTATTTACACCTTGTCTTCAAAGCCCTCTTAGTCACACTTCCATCTTCATGCATTGGCTTCTGCCTTACAATCGAGCAATAGGAAACCATCACTCCTAATTTTTCCCTTGCTGTTTTTTAAGTCTCTGGGAACTTTCCATGATGTATAGTAGAGGGTTTCATAAGGATTTGGCTCTTCCTTTGAACCTGATTAGCCAATAAACTAAATATTTTCTAAAATATAAAATAAAGAATGTGATTTGTTTCCAGACGCTTAGAAAAAGCTCCCCACTTTTTTTTTTTTCTTGAGACAGAGTCTCACTCTGGAGTGCAGTGGAGTGATTTCAGCTCACTGCCACCTCCATCTCCCAGGCTCAAGCAATTCTCCCGCCTCAGCCTCCTGAGTAGCTGGGACTACAGGCGTCCGCCACCACACCTGGTTAACTTTTTTGTAGTTTTAATAGAGACAGGGTTTCACCATATTGGGCAGGGTGGTCTCGAACTTCTGACCTTGTGATCCACCCACCTCAGCCTCCCAAAGTGCTAGGATTACAGGGGTGAGAAACCACACCCAGCCAAGCTCCCCACTTTCTAAAGTTTTCATCTCTGGACTCTTGGTGTCAGCATACAGATTCCAAATGATCAAGGATCAAAAAGCGCTGGGAGTGGCAGGGAGGAAGCAAGGATGGGCTTGAATGATCGCAATGAGTCAATCAGAAATGTGCAGTAGAAGAGTTTGTTAATGATGTCTGAGTTCCATCTCCCGGAATTATTGTTTCTTATTACTACACTTTAGGTCAGACAGAAGGGGCGTTAAGAGTAAAAAGAGTAAGGAGAAAATGGATAAAGAGAAAAATACACACCTCCATGAAAACATAAGCAGAAAAACTGTAGACTCTTGTGTCTCTGCTTATTTTTCTATGTACAGTGTTTTAATAGACCAAAGAGACGCTTTATGAGTTTATATATATGTGAATAGTGTTTATAAAAGGGGTATAATGTTAGTCATTATGGAATATTGCATAAATAAACCTTGCATATATACAATATATAAATATATAAAAAATGATTGCTTAGGGCAGTGGACACTTAAGGACTTCTAAACCTTTCATATCTTCATCCCAAAAAATAGAGAGTTCCAGGGCTGGAAGCTTATTTCCTTAGTATATTTCGCTGTAAAGCCAAGAGATTTGGGGGCTTATTTGCTGGTTTTATAATTTATAATGATCTGTATGGATTACTCTGAAATGTCTGTTGCATGTGTGTTGGTGTTGTTTGCCCACATGGAGTCATCAGAGATTCGTTCCACCCTTTGTATCCTGGAAAACCAAAAGGAGTTTTCTAGTAAGAAGAAAAACATACAGAATATGTCTTCACTGTTGGGTAACTCTCAAATTTGTAGCACTCCAGATTTCTTGTAAAACTGTGCTAATGGGGTGTTTAATGTCAGGGTTATTGTGTCTCAGTTCAATATCCAGTACTGATAATGTTTCTCCTGGGAGCACATATTTTTTTTCAAGTGCTTTTCTCCTGGACTTAACATGTTCTTCTAGAAGATATCAGAAGTCATGACCCTAAGCCACCTCCCATCAGGACCACTTTCTACCATCGGTTTTCAAAAAACTATCCACATGATCCACGTGTTTATTCTGTTTTATGTTCTGTGATTCTGTGGTAGACTCAGTGCTTTCAGAGTCCAAAGCTTGACTTGGGTTCGTGGCCCTAATGAAGTGCTAAATTTGCTCTTTACCACCGAGACTGATCAGAAGAAGCAAAAGGGGAAAGGGGGCTCCCTTGCTGGAGAGGTCCACTCACATCTTTTACATCAGACGAGAAGAGAACTGTGCCAGAAATCTGTGCATGAAACACCATCTGCTCTTCATGCAGGGAGGGTCAACCACGTGAACCTGCAGAGAGGACTCAAGTCTCCTTTGCCAAAAATGTGCATTGTTCCCAGCTGTAAGTGTATGAAGCCCAGTACATCTTTTAGCATGAAACAATAAAAACATGTTTATTTTCACTTAATAGGGTGTTCCCCAGGCCTGGATTTTTTTTTTTCAGTAGCTGCTTTGGAGAGGGAGGCACTTTGTCATAGATTAAATGTCAACAGTGAGCATTTGATTTCTCCCAAAGGGGTTTAGCTCCTGCCAGGTGCTCTGGACATCCAAAAGGGAGGGCTGGGAGGAGAGGAAATCACTTTGTCAGGCAGGAATTGCTTAGTTTCAGTGGAGGCAGATGGAGGAGCGGGCAAGTAACACTTCCTTTTAATGCCAGGCAGGCTGAATTCACCTCTGTGGAGCAAACTCTGGTTTGCACAACGCTGTGGACCTACGAAGGCCTCATACTGGACTCTTTCTCTGCCTGATTAGTGCAAAGGTTAGGTGCACAGTCTCAAGTGCCCAATTTCCTGTGTTGCTGCATTGCCAGCTGTTTGGGCTTGGGCAAGTTACTTAACCTCTCTGTGGCTCAGATCCCTTTTCAAGAAAATTAAGATGTAATAGCACCTTTCCGAGGGATGTTAAGGATAAATGTCTTAAAACATGTAAAGTGCTTTAAACAGTGTCTGGTACATATATGTGCTCAATAAAATTAGTAGTTTACACCTTCACAATGTTTGCCATATCCATCTACTACCTGTATTATTATTTACTTACAATTCTTATTTTAATTGACTTTTGAGGTGGAGGCAACTTCATCTCTAGTATCAACTTTCATCTAGAATTTAATTTAAAAGAAAACTGTATGTTCCAATGGTAAATTAGTATAATTTTGCCAGGCACAGCGGCTCATGCCTGTAATCCCAGCACTTTGGGAGGCCAAGGCAGGTGGATAGCTTAAGTCCAAGAGTTCAAGACCAGCCTAGGCAAAGTGGCAAAACCACATCTCCACTAAAAACACAAAACTTAGCCAGGCGTGGTGGCACATGCCTATAATCCCAGCAACTCCGAGGCACAAGAACCACTTGAACCTGGGAGGTGGAGGTTGCATGAGATGAGATGACGCCACTGCACTACAGCCTGGGCGACAGAGTGAGACTTGGTCTCAAAAAAAAAAAAAAAAAAAAAAAAAACAGGAAAATTAGTATAATTTGCTACAAATATAAAGTAGCCATAAAACAGTAATCACGAATATTTACTGGGTCCGTCCTAGCTGGCAGGCAATGTGCTAAATGTCTTGATTTACAATCCTCGTGCCCTATGAGGTCAGTACTATTACCATCCTACTTCCCAGATAAGGAAACTGAAACAGAGAGAGGTCAGCAAATTTGCCTATGGTTGTGTAATTAGTAAATAGAGGAGGCATTTCAGACGACAGAATCCAGGTTCTTCGGCACTGTTCAGTGCTCCTGCCCTAACAAAAACATCTTCCAAGCGTGGTAGATGGTCGCTTCCTAGGGCTGCTAAAATGATCAAAAATTCATTTGATGCAGCAATCCCATTACTGGGTATATATCCAAAGGATTATAAATCGTTCTACTATAAGGACACGTGCACGCGAATGTTTATTGCAGCACTGTTTACAATAGCAAAGACCTGGAACCAACCCAAATGCCCATCGATGATAGACTGGACAGGGAAAATGTGGCATATATACACCATGGAATATTATGCAGCCATCAAAAACGATGAGTTTGGGTCCTTTGTAGGGACATGGATGCACCTGGAAACCATCATTCTCAGCAAACTGACAGAAAAGCAGAAGATCAAACACCGCATGTTCTCACTCATAGGCGGGTGTTGAACAATGAGAACACATGGACACAGGGAGGGGAGCACTACACACTGGGGTCAGTTAGGGGGAAATAGGGGAGGGACGGTGGGGAGTGGGGAGCTGGGGAGAGATAGCAAGGGGAGAAATGCCAGATGTAGGTGATGGGGAGGAAGGCAGCAAATCACACTGCCACGTGTGTACCTATGCAACAATCTTGCATGTTCTTCACATGTACCCCAAAACCTAAAATGCAATAAAATAAATAAGCGGGAAAAAAAAATTCAGTAGCTTAAAACAACAAAAACTTGTCTGTCACGATCTGGAGGCTAGAAGTTCAATATCAAGTTGTTGGCAGGGCCATGCTCCCTCCAAAATCTCTGAAGGAGGATCTTCCCTTGCCTCTTCCAACTTCTGGCAGTTCCAGGCATTCCTGGACTTGCAGCAGCGTCTCTCCCAGCTCTGTCTCCGCCTTCAAATAGCCATCTTCCCTCTGTGTCTCTCTATCTTTGTGTCTTTTCTCCTCTTCTTGCAAGGACACCAGTCATACTGGATTAGGACCCACCCT